CATGACTAGAATTATTCTATAATATAAAGAAATAAAAGATAATATGGGAAGAGAACAGAAGTATAAAGAGAAAGAGGAAAAAAAGGGATAAAGATAAAGATTTTAGAGGGAGAAGAAGAGGAATGTTAGGCAGCCATGAAGGGAAGAGAGAGAGAGAGAGACAGAGAGAGAGAGAGAGAATAAAGTCGGAAAGCCAAGTTTAGAATGATACCCAGCTTTTGCTGGTCAATACTTCCTCACTTTTGCAGTCAGTATGCAAAAACTTTTTGGCATTTCTAATCACCATGTACTTTGAAGGCCAAAATCTAGAATGCCAACAGTATGTTGCCACTTACTATTAGAATTCCTAACAAATTAGATATGACTGTCATAGCAAGAGCAAGTGCAGAATTCCCACCAGCAAGCTGCATTTGATGAATATAAAACACTATATTAAGAGTAAGAATAAAACATATTAAGAAATATAAGTGACGCAAATAGCTTTGTATAGAATGAATGAGGGTTGACAACCTCCTCTATACCTTTATCCATTAGTAGATCTATATATAGAAAAATAATTTTAAAAAATACAAAGTATCAGCATACTTGAGTAAGCGCTATCCCACTTGATAAAGTAGTTGGCATACAACTAAATATAGCAAGCCCTGCAAATAACAGAATAATCATGAAAAGCTTCCAATTAAGCAAGATGAAATACTATATGAATCTCAGTGAATAATGCTTTCAACTCTGTTAAAGCTGTTAGGATATTAGCATATCAGAATAATATTTTTCCTATGTTATATTGATCCATATTATAGTCTTTTCCTTCACACTTATTTTCCAATTATTAGTTCTCCTTGGAGCTTAGCATTTTCTAAGTAGTTTAGTGTTTTCTCATTGGTTTATTTTTTCAGGCATGGATTACTCATAAATATTCATGTACAAGTTCTCCATAAACATAACAAACAATTTAAGTCAAAGTTTAACAATTTAATTTTCTTCATCTTCATCACATCAGCATCCTCCTGCATCAAGAACAGTGAGATTGCTACCACAAAGAGAAGCAATTGAAGACATCACTACATATTACCCAAAATCAGCTAACCAGAAAAAGAAATAGATGTAGAAGACGATGATATTCTGACCAAGGGAATGTCAAGTCACCATAGAAAACCACTGTAATGAATGCATGGCTCACATACCAATGATCCGGACAGCGTGTGGAACTGCAGAGAAAGGTGAAATGTTGGAAAAGAGCTTACACAGAACTGTTAAATCTCTTCCTTGGATAGGAATGCTGTAACAGAAATTCAGTGGCAAACTCAATTCTATCTCCTGGTTTTCATAAGCAACATGATTTTTTCTTCCAGGTTCAATGCAATTGACTCGTCTTTAATCTAATTTGCCACCATGTTGAATAACATGATGTTATTGCGCCTTAAAGCAACACCATATAAAAGTCATAGACTGCTGCTTTTTCGTTTGGTAACTAGTGTTTACAAGATTACTCCTGAAGTACTTTCTTTGAAATTGGGTCGGGTGTTGAATGATACCTTTCTATCATTCAAAGTTCTTTTGTGGGTAGTAGGAAAACCGTTGACACTTCTCACACTGCTAATAAAGTAATTGGAGCAAGTTAAGAGATCAACAGATAAGGTGTTGATCTTTAAAGTAGATTTTGAGAAGGTTACGATTGGTGTAACAGGGACTTTATGGAAAAGTATGATAGGTTTAATAGAGGCTTTATGGACAAGGTTATATTGAGGAAAAGTTTTGGTGGTAGATGGAAGAGAGAGAAAAATTCCCCATTACCATCAGCCGAGTTAAAACTACCATCACTGTTCACCATTGAAAGTAGCCACACGCTGGAAATTGTTGCTCAAGTTCATGGTCAAAGACCATATGGAGTTCACCTAGCTCTCGCTCTACAATCCTTCTTCCCCAATTCAAATATGGGTGTCACCTAGTTAACAAAAGACTCAAAATCCTCCATTCTGTTTTGCTGATAGAATTCAACAAATTTTTTCCAGCAAAAAGCAAGCACAGGAAAGAAACTCTTGATACTTTCTTGATTCTAAACAGGAAAAAGACTCTTGATACTTTCTTGATTAAACCTATGGAGCTTCTGTTCTCGGAAGTGCTGTAAGTTCTTGCTTCTAGGATTCAAGGAAAGCTTAGAGTAGTGGAATGGAATCGGTTACAAAAAACAAGAATGAAACCATCTGCTGACTCTTCGACTTTGTCCATTTCTTTCAAACCCACTATTCAACAATCAACACTATCACACCACTCATCAGCCATCAAAGACTTTGTTGCTAGAGTTTCATTTGATCCAATGACCAGACGGTGAAATATGATTAGGTCAGGTTAATGCCTAAAGGGATCCATTGATCAAGAAGTTATATCTAATATTTTGTGAATCACAAACCTCAGGATCATTCAATGAGTTGACTTTCATACTTGACCATCGATCAAAGTTGTGAAAGTGCTCGTGCAACACTCACATAATAAGGTGAAAACAACAGAAGAAGAGAGAACCAACTAAGAAGTCTACGGAAATGTTGCTTCCTCAAGGGACAGAAACAAGCAAAAGAAGAAGTTTAGTAAGCAAACCTGTTACGAATTCTTGAGGTTGGAGCTGAACTTGCAAAATTAGCCTTGAGAAATATGGTGTAAATAAGAGAATGGAGCACTGGATCAAAAAGAGGGGAAACAATTTAATAACATAAATGCTAATGTTGACTAAATGCTATTGAAGATGATATACACAAATTCCCAAAACTTGAGAATATGACCTGAGGAAACAGAAACATAAGCAATAAGAAAAAGGTAAAAAAAAAAAAGAAAAAGAGGAAAGAATGGGAAACAAAACTGTGGGAAATAAACCTACAAAATGAATAATGGCACAGAAGGGAATTCAAGACCATACTAGCCCAAACATTCCTACAGACCAAGCTTCTACAGCAGCACCAATTGCTTCACTACGCAGAGTCAAACCTACACCACATGTAAAAGGAGATTAAATAGGCATTAGAGAACATAATAGCATGGAAATTTGCTAAAATCTAACCCAATTACCTGAGATGATAAATATTCCTACTGTGCTAAATTTTGACAGAGAATATCTATCAGCAAGACAGCCAAGACTTGGATTTGCAAATCCAATTGCCACTCCACTGACAAGAGCTGCAAACAACATCAGACTTTCAACAGAATGATAATGATTGCCTAAGATGTGTAATTTCATGATCTCAATGAAGCTAACACCGTGCTTTCAACAGAACTCTAATAATCACCCAATGCAGGCAATTTCATTATCTTAATTAAGCAAACAAAAGAAAAAAAATGAAATAACTCATTCAGGAACAACTTATGGGAGACAATGAGAAGTATGATACTTTTTAATTGCCAAATAATTGATAATTTTTACTTGATTCATCTGCCAACCAGAAACTTTATTGTTCAGTTTGCTGGGTTTTCATTACAAAAGTTCATCCAAATAGATCCTATGATCATCTCAAGGTTAAATTGGTAGCCAAGGGCTACAGTCAAGTATATGGATGTAAATCCCTCAAAAAAAATGTATATGGGTGTAAATGCATTAGTGTGGTTTGGTTTACACCTATAACCAAAAGATAACACTAAATTTGATTTCTCAAAAAATCAAAGCAAACCAAACTATTTTAGCATAAAAACCAGACTGGACCAAATAATTCAGTTTGGTTTAGTTTGATTAAGCCGATCTTTTTTATATATTATTCTATAATTTCCACTATACAGCACTACCTTACATTCATAATAATTAGGGGTATCAATTGTTTAGTGAAAATTAAAAAACAAAACAAAACCGCCAAATAGCTTAGTTTGGTTTGGTTTTTGACCCTACAAATTTTAGTTTGGATTGGAAACTAAAACCAAAATTTTTAATTTGGTTTAAGTTTACTCTGGAAAATTTTTAAACCAAACCAGTCCAAAAAATCCGAATTTTCTGTACAATAATTAGAAAATAATATATATGATCAAGCTAAAAAGTGAAAATGAGTTGGATTTCATACTTCTTAATAACTAATTTATGTTGCAAAGTCATTTATTTTGTGAATATTAGATATATACATAACTTTCTTTTGTTTTGCAAAATTGTACAAGTCAATATTGTCAATATTGTTTTACGATAAGTATTTATTTTATAAGAAATGTAGTTTTAAGATACATTGTTATGAATATAAGTCAGTATTGCCTATTGGAACAAAATTCTCAAAATTGCATTAGAAAACAAATTCAAGGTTCAGTTATAGGGTGTAAACGAAAACAAACCAATTCATTTACACCCTTACAAGTAGCATTGACATTCCATACACATGTATAAGAATTTTTAGCTCTTTATTTATAAAAATATTCTAACTATTAAAGGAATTAAAATAAGATCTGGAGCGGGTATTCTTCAACAGCTCATTTGGTTCAGTGAGATGTTTGTTGTCCTGCAGAAGAGAATAGCGATATGGGAATTGTGAATCTTATATCTAAAAACATGTATCCATAATGGTTTGAATAATCTTAGAGAGAGAATGCTCTTGTCGTCAATTAAACATTCTGGCAAAATAGCAACTATAAATTAGATATGTACGTGCAAATTAAAGTTTAAGTTTATAGCTTCAATAAGCAACAGAAGTAGAAAGCATAAAAATACCATACCGAAAGGAAGAAAATTATTCGAGGCGAAATCCAAAAATTGTTTTGTCAATCCCTTCGCAGGACCTGAAGTGATATCAGCTTGACCTCCGTTTCCACCTACCTGCAGCGCAACCAAAATTCTTTTAACACGACATAGGGAACTTCCATTTCCACGAAAATTAAGCTACATAAGACTAGGAAATTACATTCTTCGGCTACCAACATTCAAGTAACATCTGGATAAATTTAAATTTTCAATTCCCCTCCTAATTTTCTAAATAAACAGAAAATGCGAACGTAAGAAGCTAATTGGCTGGACCTTATCTGGCTGTTGACAGGCTCTTGTTGGTCTTGAAATCAAGCGATTGCAATTGAACGAAACAGAGCGACTCACGAGGAGTGAAGAGCTTGCCAGGAAACGGGGAGTCGGGAAACAAAACGGTGACGTCTTGGCGTGCCGAGGTGAGAGAACTAGAGAGTGAATGGTTCCCGCCATGAGAGCAAGCCTGTGTGCAGTATGCACAGAACTATTCCCGGCGTCGACCAGAGGTCAGTCGGGGAAGAATTGAAGATATTTGACCAAATGTTTTGCCGGCCGAATTCCTCAAGGCAGAATTTTTAATTATTTAGTTTCATTTTTTTTTCAATCGAATATTTATTTTATTTTTATTAAAAAATATATTTTTTATCAATATTACAGCCACTTAATAATTAAAATTATTTTATTTTATTTAAAGACTATAAATTTTAATTTTATTAAAAATATAAAATTTTCGATTCCATACAATTAATAATTTAATTTTTTATACAAAAAAAAGTGTTTAATAAATTTTATTAATGAAAATAATTACATAAAATTAAAAATTTGATTTAATTTTTTTAAACTATATATTTCTTATTTCTCTAGTCAGAGTGCAACTCACTGGTGATTATGTTGATGAATTAATTATGTTTTCAATTGTTTATTTTAATATATAAATATATTTGTTAGAAATATTCTCAAAAAATATTTATTAAAAATATTATTTCCCCCAACAGTAAAAATTATGTTTTATAGACATTTATCAGTAATTTTTTTCAACAATTTAAAGTAAATTTGCTTATATGTATATATTATACATATAATCTTCTTAAATCGAATATATATTATTTACTGAGACAAGTTGGAAATTATATATATTCCGATTAATTTCTTTTATATAAAGTGTAAATTTTATTAAATATAGGCAATAAGTGAACGTCAACCGTATACAAAAATTTACAAATCAATTAAAATATCAATAAGTTCCGATAAATCTTCCATAAAACAAAGAGGATGACCCGTAACAAAAAAAACTAAGAGTTTGTAATCATATATTTTTAAGAATATCAAAACCATTTACATTCTCAACCACATCCGAAACATCAGATGACCCATCGCAGTAGAGCATAAAATTGATAGGAATTGCAGAGTATTTATCAGATCAGGAAATCCCTGCTTAAGAACATGAAATAGACTGTTCTCAAGGCAGTCAATCAAAATCTAGAGAGGAACTATACAGATTCCAATTTAACTTGAGCATCAAAATAACCCACCAAAGCTATTAGTTGAACAAACTCACTACATTCAAGATATGGGTTGGGAGCATTTAGTATACGTATTGAGGTAAGTTTAGTTACATATATCCACGAATTTTTTTTTCCAACAACACGAACATCCACAAAAATGCAGCGATTTATTACAAATTTCTCCAAAAAAAAAACTAGAACTGCAAGATAGAGAGAGTTAATAGTATTATTAAGTACCAAAAAGTAACAGGATTTCAATAGCAAGAATTCAAAATTTTATTACCTAAACAATTAATATCAATTATCTCTACTGAACAAATGTTAAAATTTAAACTAACTAGTTACAATTTCTAAAAGGAAAATTAATGCACTACAGGGTCCAAAATTTACTATAGGATTCAAAAAGATATAAATGATGTTCAGAGTTTTTAAGACTAACCTTAGTAGCATTGAGATGGATTCCCAGGTAGTCTAGCTCTTCATCTTGAACTCTTACCAAAGAAGTACAAGTAGTTTCGACTTCAGAGACATAAAGGTTTAAGTTATCCATCTTTCAGAATATATTCAACCTTCCACCAATTCATTGTCCACTCTATATTGTTTTCTTCTCTATCATTCCTATCTCTCAATTTCAGAAAGACATCATCTTCTATCTTTTCTCCCTACAAATTGCATCAGGTCAGAATCATAGTACCAGAATCAATGCTTTTTGGCGAAATCTCAGAATCTACTGTTCCTCACTTCTTCCCTTTAACATTTACAGATCTTAGATAATCATGGTCTTTCTATTCTGGAATATCTCTACAAAACAGATGAAAATGAACCTTCTTTCTTGACTCTAAATCCCATCCCAATACAGTTCAAGCCCTTCCTGGGCTATCTCATCTTATCTCAAAATTTTAATCCAACATTAACCAAGGTGATTTTGAACCATGATACCAGTCAAAATTTGCCGTAAGCAGATCAAGCTGGTGCTAAGCAATGTAGCTGTTATATGGGTGTATAAAATTGGAAAAAGTTTATTAACATAGATCCTAGTAATTATTAGTCCAGGTAAAAATGTATCAGTTTACTGATGCAAAACCATCTAAGCCTAAATAAGAAGGATGATTTTAGGACTTTTTTTAAGATATCTTATTTCTTCTATTTAGGAAGTGATACTTTTTTTAATGTTTGAGTTTATTTAAAAACTTAAAGACTTTTAGAAAATTTAGATTTGTTTTCATATTAGTTGGTTTCCTTTTTAGTTAAAGGTTTGAACCTATATGAAGCCTTCTAATTAACAATTCGTATTACTTTTGGACTCGGTTATTTTTTTTTTGAAATTATTTCACTATTCTACCTAGATTTTTTCATTCTTTCTTCTTCACCTGTCTAATGTTGTTCTTTTCTCCATTTAAAGTCTTCCCCTTTATCTGCATTTGTCCGATTTATCTATTCTTTTGTTCTCTTTCCCATATTTTTCTACATTTCTTGATCGTAGGATAATTTTGGTTCTACTGTTAGTTGTTCTACATCAAATGGTAGTAGAGCTAAAAACCTACCCCCATATTGTTGCCAAAATGTTATATCCCATAACAGTGGAATAAGAAAGAGCAGAGGACTTATAATTCTCGAAATAATGAATTTAAATTTAGGAATTCCGAAAATAATCAATTATTTACATGTTTAATTATTTTTTTATAGACTATGTCTGTTGTATTAATAGTATTATGTAAGTCTTAGATAAGAATAAGTTTAGATTAAGACAAAGGTAGTTACTAAATCATGGATAGGAAGAAAACTTCCAGAAACTAACAACTTTCTCCTTCATGTGATAAATACAGAACTTTCGTCTCTGAACAGAGAGGTATGAAAAAATTTTTATCACTTGTCTTACTCAGAGATCGAGGAGTTCTATCTTAACAAGTCCATACATTTAGATCAAAACAGGTAAAGGAACAAGAACATAATGACACCCTTTAATACCTAATAATTTTTGAGTTCATCCTCCCACAACAAGATCCATAA